TTTTGTTATGTCTGCGAGAAGGTGAAATACTCGTATGTTTCAAAAATCATGCACAGTTGACTTTCCTTCCATTATTTCCTCAAGGAAATGTAATAAATTTGCGATGTGTACCATCTGTCATTGCGATTTTTTGATATCGCATGGCGGATGTTCTTAAACATGTGCGTTCACAAATACACAAGGACAACATAAGTAGTTTTGAAAAAAAAGAAATTTTTTTTTCTTCCAAAACAAAGGACCAAAAAGTTATTAATGCAGAATGTCTCTTCTCTGCCTTTTTAATGACTGACTGACTGGCAGGTTATTGCCGGCAATACAGTCCTGTGAACTGTATCCGGCTCTATTAAACTAGGCACAATGGTGACATCACGATAAGTCAATCAACATACAACAACAATATCAACAACAACAACAAATTTTAATTCTCTTGATGTTTTTAAACAAGAGAGCTCTTGAGGGAAATAAGATTCTTGGACATTTTTTATCACTGTTTTTTGTAGCTAATCGAAGCTCTTCGGTTGTCAGAAAACTTCTCAAACGAATTTCGGAGGAGTTTCGACAGTTGTAAATGAATCTTAGGCATTAAGCAACTATATTATGTAATTTTGTCCAAGATGAATACCGTTTAAAAATGTCATTTCCATTTACTGTATAAAATACTGAAATGCACGTTTACAAACTCCTTCATAATCTACATCAGCACAAAGATGTTCCCTGCCAAGACAGGTTTCGAAATCTTGTGAATATAACCAAGTAGGTCCCATGAACATTCTTTTACAATTCAGAAATTTGGCTGGAAACATTCCTCTTGTACCTGAATAAGCTGTGTTCAGCTTTCCATTGATATGGTTCCACCTTTCATTAGGAATTGTATTCTGTATTTTGGCAACACGGTTTGCAGCAAAGGGAATTTAGTTGAAGTATTCTAAAAGGGAAATGGTTCTGAAGAAATCCAGGACAGTACAACAGTTGAATCTGTCCAGGCCAAACGTTACGTATAGGAAACTCTAAATGTTCTAACACTGATTTTAGTAAATTCACACAAAAGTGTGGCGCATAATTCTAATGATGGTAGTGATTGCACCTTCAGAGGGGGGGGGGCAACTCTTGTTTTTGATGTTAAGAGTGAGACTTTTAAGTCCAAATTATTCGATACTGAACGCAAATAAGTTGCTGCACAAAGCCTTTCTCGGAGGCATCACAAAAAAAGGCACAAATATCAATATAGTTTCAAAACAAATCTCGGTATTTTTAATTGTTGAATAAGCTGTAAATCCCTTCGAAAACTGTTCCATTTGTTAGCAATATCATCACTAACAGGCTCATCCCATGATAAATGGAGCTTCCACATGTCTTGTATCAAGATTTTGACATAAGTAATACAAGGAGCAAGCCAACCCAACGGGTCAAATATTTTCACTAAGTTAGAAAGGATATCTCTTTTAGTGTATTTAAACTTTTCTCCAGAAATGGATACAGAAAAGTTAAAGTAGTCTTCTCGAGGATTTCAATTAATTCCTGAAACGTTGATTGAGCTATCGTCTTGAAATTTCATTGGCTCAGATTTCTTAACTCCTTGGGTATATTCTCTAACAAGACATTGGATGACCATTTACACAGAAGAAATCCTCCATGTTCTAACATTCGCAAGAGTTGATTTACTAGAGTTTTGCACTCTTCAGTGTTTTTAGCACCTACCAAACAATCATCTACAAAATGTTTTGGAAGTACAGCCCTTGGAGCTAAAAGGATAGTTATTCTGCTCATCGTAGGCAAGTTGGTATAAAGTACGAGTATCCAAATATGGAGCAGTGCCATATGTGACAGTATTAAGTCGAAATTCTTGAATAGGATCACTTGGATTTTTCTTGCCAAAATATCCTTTGAAAATCTCTATCCTCTTCATTAACTAGAATTTTTCTAAACATTTTCATGATATCAGCTGTGACAACTACTGGGTAACATCTGAATTTGATTAAAACTGGAAACATCTCTTGTTGTATTCAAGTACCTGTCATCAATATGTCGTTAAGAGGTAGTCCTGATGAACATTTACTAGTAGCATTAAAAAACCACACGTATTTTGCTCGTAGAGCTAGATTCTTTAATTACTGCATGATGTGGCATGTAGTATGCCTGACTTGGGAACTCTGAACTACAAACTGGTTCCATAAGCCCTAGATCCAAGTATCATGTGTATCAGGAGATCTTAAGAGATTTCTCTCTAAAGATTTAAATCTTTGTGAAGCAAGATCTTTAGATTTACCCAACCTTGAAGGGTTATCTTTAAATGGAAGTTTCACGACCATTTTGATCATAAAAGTGTTGTTTTCAAGAATTGTTCACATTTTTTATCTTCACTAGAGATACGTTTGACTTCAGGAATGGAGTCTAAAGACCAAAATCTTTCAACTAATTCATATGTATTCAACTGAAGATTATTCACTGTATAAGTGGTAGTTAGATTTGAATCATCAGTAATAGTGTTCCCAGATATGATCCTACCCAACTGAGAACAAATTGCGAAGGGCATTGATCTATGATATCTCCCTTAACCAAAGTAAAAAATGCATTTATGCCTAAAAAAAATATCAATAGGTGTTTCTTTCATAGAACTTAGGATCAGGCAAGACTAGATCATCTAAATGATTCACAATTTTAGAAGGAAGCGACATGTTAGGCACATCTGAAGTTGAATTGAATGCGTATGTTGGAAATTTGAATTTTAACTCAAAGTATGGGGTAAAGATCAATTCCACTTCTCCACTTTGAACGAACTGTTGAACTCCACTGTTGAACGAACCAAGGCACAACACTTCGATTTTTTTGTTAAGTCTACCTAACTTTAGTTTTTTGACATACTCTTCACTTATGAAGCTAGCTTCACTGCCACAGTCTAGTAAACCCCTGAAAGGGATGGTGTTACCTTTGGAATCACTAACTTTAATGACAGCAGTGCACAGTAAAACATGCTTTGCTTCACCTTTAACTAAATTGTCCTGTACATGTGGCATTTGTAACGACTTCATTCTTTGGTAAGAATACTTCAGCACTGGGGGAGAGTGAGGACGTTTGGTTTGGTTTCTCATTTTCTCTAGTTTTGGGATTTCGATCAAAGTGAAGAACAGTATGAGGCAACTTACGCTTCATACATTTATGCAAACTGCAACAATTTTTCACTAAATGAGGCTGAGAAGATAAACAATTAAAACAAAGTTTGTGTTTCTTAAATTCTTTTTGGTTTTTCTTAAGTTTAAAAACCTATCACATTTGTGAAGAGAATGATCTTCCTTGCACATTATGCAACTGTTTTTACTCGACACTCAAGAAGTTACTTTGGAATTAGAAAGTTTCCTAAAATCTTTAGATTGGTTTCTACTATTCTGAAGGGTTATAATGTGGTTTTTTAGAAACTCGAGTAAATTACCTAAAGTACCTAATTAATCGTTTTTCAAGGTTCTTTCCCACCAGAATTTTATGTTTTTATCTAATTTCTCAGTTATCAGATAAACAAAAAGAACATCAGAAAGATCAGCTATTTCTAGCTTAAGAGTTCTCAAGGAACGTACACGTTCATTCACTACATCAACACAATGCAAAATAGCTTGAGCTGAGTCAGAAACATGTGGGAAGTTAAACATTTTATGGATTAATGCATTGGTTAATTCTGTTTTATTAGAATAACGTTCCTGTAAAAGTAGCAACGCTATATCATAATTGGCATCTGACATTTAGAAATATTCAGATTGTTATCTACACTTGCCTTCAAAAGATCATAGAAACTATTCCACTCTTCTATATTTTCCTCTGTAAAGGAAGAAAGTTCTAATTTTGGTAATCGAACGTCAAACGAATTTACTTTTGTTACACAACTTGTTGCGATAATAGAATCACTGGAAAGTTTCTGTAACTTTTTATTTATTGTTATCCATAAATCGTCTAAAGTTTGTTGTTCTGTAATGAATGTATCACAGTCTTTTTCAGGACACAATAAAAATATTTCGTCAAAGATAGAGCGAAGTTCACCATTAAAAGCATTTAGTTTTGTTTCGAATATCTTTACCTCTAAAATTTCTGCTTGTTCTAAATTCGAATTTACCTTGCCTTTAAACGTTGTTATATTGCTTTTTAGAACTTTCTTTTTAGTTAAAACTGGTTTCAAATCAGCCATTATGAATAACAAAAAATACTATACTAACAACTTTTAGCAAAAGAAGAGGAAAAATTGAAACATACTCACCCCAATGCTGAGGTTTCCACACTATGCTACACACATATTCTTGAAATCGAAACTGATTTCACTTGCTAATATTTGAATGAATCACATATATCAAAAGCTCGCTGATTCACTTCTTCAGTTGCACAGACCAAAAATGATTAAGAATACGTTCACAAAACAAAAAGAGTGGACTGTCTATCACTTATTTATTTTACATAACACTTTGAAATAGAAGAAATGCTGTCCACGTGGCGACACAGCATTTAATGCACGCATCACTCAAAGCACTGTAGCAATTAAAAAAACAAAAAAGAATAGAACACATAAATCACATATTTGAAAAGTTCGTTACTATAGCAACCATAATTGAATCATGAGGCAGTAGCACCATCTGTTGTTGCAAAGACGCACTAGAAATTTGTTTGGTAACAAAAAGTACTAAACAGGGGGAGGGGAAAGCTTTGAATGGTATATTTTTCCATTCAATTTTGGTCAGTACCTATTGCCGCTGAATGCACAAATTGGCATTGCAAGAATTAGCATTATAATTACAACTTGGCCATTTTCTACATACATGTTTATACATATATAATTCATGTATTCCATGATTTATTATTTAAACTGTTTTGTTTACATGATTTGGTGGTTATTAATATTGTTCTCATTAGTTCAAACTTAGATTTTGGAAACTGAGGCATACTTAATTTGTATACGTTTACTTGTACTTATTGTTGTCATCTGACATTTGTTGTTATTAAATATTTTTAATTTTTAATTTTAGAGTCCATGAAAATATAGTGAAAGAACAGTTGGAGTTATTATTATTGGCATTCAAGGATGTAGCTGATGTTGTCATAGCTATTAATTACTTACCTAGTGGTAGTTTATTGTGGGCAGGAAAACTGAATACTAAGCAGATTGGATTATGTGGTGTAATATCATCTTTTTTGCGTTTCCTTATGTTATTCCGTAATTCAGAAAAGGTAGGACGACTGATACAGTGAAATTAAAGCCAAGGTTTTTATGTATAAATTGATGCTTTTTATGACTGCAGCTTTTGTATTGTATGGTAACTAACAAAGCATATTTGTCATTTGATAATGCATGTTTGTCTTAACATTTTTTGATTTTTGAAGATTAGTGTTGAGTCAGTATTATTATAATAAATCAAGGTAAGGGTTGTATGGTTTTAGATTTTGTTAAAAGATTTTTATACTTTTTGATAAACTATATTTGCTGTTTTTGACTGCATATACTTGTCTGTTTTTTGCCTCTATTTGAACAACTCAGAAAAGTGTCTTTTAAAACCATTTTGGTAGAATGTTAACACTTTTCTCTTGGCACTCTGAATTTACATTCTAACACTTTGAATTAACACATTGTTGCATACATATTTTTGGAGAATAATGTCTTACTTTAAGTTTGTCTCACTTATTGTATTAAACATAAAATAAATTTAAAAGAAATCTTTGTATTATTGCTGGCAGTTTTAAAGTATGTGATATTGAGATTGTGTCTCTCTGTGCAACTTCTGTATATTGCTGAAGTATATCAACTGTAAAAAATGTTTTTATTTATCAAATTTATACTGTATTAGAATTATTTTATTTTGTTTAAAGCAGAACAATGACAATACATTAATATCTATACTTTCCTTCCCAATTAAGAAATTTTAGGTACAAAATTTAAAAGTTCTATACCTTGCAGACATTTTTGTCTCACTTTTTTCTCATTCTTGTATTTAAAAAATTATGGATTGTTTTGATGTAATTAAAGATGAAAAATTTTGAATGATATTTCTTCTTATGTTCATTGTTTCAAAACTTAGATTCACATTTTTTGATCTCATTGCTCTAGTCCTTTTCTTATATATGGTTTGGTGTAAATCTCAATCAGTGACTAGCTAATTGAAAAAGTAATTATATGTAGATTTTTTTTGTCTGAATAGTTAGGCATTCCTTGGTATAAATTACATCAAAATCAGTTGTAAAACAAATGCCCATAGTTAATCTAATACATTTGCATAAATAATTAAATTTAGTAAAAACGTTTGTAGTATTTTAGTGTCACTGAGCAGGTGAAATTAATGTACAGTTGATTCGTTGTCAGGTCTTACTTCATTACTAACTGGCTTCATTATGCAACTGTTCAGTTTTGTCCTAGTATTGTTAAATAAGCAGTTTTATAAATATTGCCGTTCTTATGTTTGTTATTACTTATGTAAATTTTCTTCTCCAAGTATTTTTGGAAATCTTCACATTAGGCAGCTACTCTTTATTATTTTATGCTATCCACATTACATTGTGTCCTTAGTGTGTTATTTTATTACTTTAAATTAATAAACTCATGTATACTAGAATATCAAATGAGCCATATTTTATCACAGAACACTGATGAGAATTTATTATAATGTTTGATATGTACCTGATAAAATAATGTAACTTCCCAGAGTGCAACATTTAATGAGTCTCCTATTTGTATATAAGAGAACTTTTATTTTATTTATTTGATCTATTCTAGGCTATATATTTTTCAAAATTTACGGAATTTGCTGTTATCAATAATTGCAATCTAAAATTGAACTGAATATAGTGACTGTTTTATAGTTATTGTAAGCTTACATAGATTTAAAAAAAAAAGACTAATCTAACTTTTTTTATATATTCTGTGATTAATTTTAAATAGTGGTAAAATCAAACTGAAAAATCATGAAGTGAAATGAATTTTAAGAACAGCTGTTGTTATTTTATAGTTATTTTTTAAATTTTTGTGAGGTTACAGGTTACAGTTTTACTGTTGGACATAGTTTTATTAATATAGAAGATAATAACTGAAGATAAGCAGGGAAAATTCTGATGAATTTAAAAAGTTTTGACACACCAATTTGTCATCCATAATTTTCAAATTATTTATTTATGAAGCAGATAAAGATGGTTATAATTCATTTTAGTTTTTTACTTCCTTGTACAAAGTAAAGCAGGTATTGTAATCACAGAAAATTTTGGGTATTATATTTCAACAGAAATATCTATTTTGATCTTTCCTGAATCCATTTGGATGATTTTCTTGGACAACATCTGTACACAACAACATCTGAACACAAGCATTCGTTTTTTTCAAAATGGATTCAAAAGGAATATTTTCATGATCACTATTATGTACGTGTGTATGTATGTATCTCGCATAAATAAAAAACCATAGAATATTGAAACTTTGTATATGGGACTGCTACATACAAAATTTCAATGTTTCTATTTCTGTGTTTCTGCTTTTTCTATGTGGGTGCCATAAAGTTGGAATACCACTGATTTAACTGATAATTAAAAAAAAAAAGTGTTATACAAAAGTTATACTATGCTTAAGATTTGAGATATTGTGGTTGTTCTGCATAAATTAAAAATAAGCTAAAAAGCATCTTAAGGTTGGCATGGATTTTGAATGAAATTTTATAGATTTCTAGGGTTATAACAGAGATCCCTCTTTTTCAAAATCTACAGCAATCTAAAATTGCTTTTTAGCTTAAATTTTTCAGTGGTATGTTTCTTTTTTAGTTAAATTATATTAGATTTTTAATTACAATTATTTAACCTTTTTGACTATCAACTTTTGAAATTTGTAATCTCTTCAGTAGCCATTTCATTTCTCAGAAAACTTGTTAAAATTAATGTATACAATCATTTTGAGGAAACAAATAATTAGGTGAACATTCAGTAGGCACAAACTGGAATTCCAATTTTTTAATTTTTTTAATTATTCCAAATTTTTAATTTGTGTGTGCATGATTCCTTCATCTATGTAAACAACATGTATCTCTTATTAATATTCTTGAAGTTTTATAAAAGCTTATACTGTATATTAAAACATTTAGTAGATGGATAATGAATGCTACTACTTACATATTAAAAATTTTAACATACTACAGTTTAGATGAAGCCTAATATTTTTCTCCTGTTTATAAGCATCAGTTTCACAGTATTAGTATGTACATTGATACTATTTTTTTAACAGAACTTTCAAGTGTTATTTTTGATTGATATAATAATTGTTAACTAATAAGCAAATTTGGATTTATTCTTATCTGTTCAGTGCACACTTATATATATTTGTCTTGTTTTCACTGCATTGTAAAACGTTTTATTTACTGTTCCTGCACTACATTGCATAAGATCAGATATGTATGTTGTCTAATTTTATTTCAAGTAATGTCTTAAAATTTGAAGATTTTAATTTTTTTATTTAATTGGAAAGTTCATCAAAATATTTCATTATAGCAATTAAAAAGAAACTGCATTCAAGATAAGTTATTTCTAAAAACAAATCATAAACTTGAAAATGTATTAACTGCTATTTTATTACACATACTGTTTTATCATCATTTTAGCTGGAATAGTAATGTATGTAAATAAATATATTTTTCTGACTCGCAGTTGCATAAGAGCAATTTTATGATGTTGATAAATTATGATCTTCCAATTAACGAGCTTTATTCTGCTTTCAATTCAGAATGTGGGTCCAGCACTTTTGTATTTAATTGTTGGTTGAAAAAAAAGAAATTTTCAGTTTTTTGCTGATTGTCACAACTTTTGTAAAGTCAAAGGATGAAAGTCCATTTTATGTTATTTTATCTTATTAGTTTTCAATCATTAATGTTATATAGTTTGTATTGCAAAATGATTTGGTAACTATTATTTATGACTGTAGTATGTATGATATCTCAATGAAAAATGTATTGTTAAAATCTTTTGAATTTCCGTATTGTGTTTTCAAGCATATGATGCATAGGTAGTTATTTGGCAAAATTATGTAATTTTTTTTTATCTGAACAGTTAGTAATTTTCATTTTGATTTCTGATTAGTTAAGATTTCTAGTTTCTATTATATATATTTTTAAAAATTTTAAATATAATTAGCAAAGCATTATATTTAAACTTTATAGTATTGCATAGCTAAGTATTCTTCATAGTATTTCTTCTGCTTTCATAGATTTTTTTTTTTTTTTTTTAAATGTCAGAGGCCTTGAGTACGATTCAAAAAAGTATTTAAAGACGCAAATAAATTATTCTGTCTTATTGTAGTTCATCAAACCATCTTTTATGAAATAAAGAGGAAGTTTGATTAACTTGTTGTATATTAAATTCAGTATTGTAGATTTCTATAAAAATTATTTTTTTAAGTCACTAGTCTATTAATGTTTTACTTATTGTGGAACAGTGATTTTACTTTAAAATATTTTAGAATAGGAAAGCCACATTCCAATATTAATCAAAGACCACTATGAGTCCTAATCAATATTAGAATACTTAATCAAAGACCAATATGAGTCTTTGATTAAGTCAAGAATATAATATCTTTCATTTTTTAATTATAAATAGTACGAGAATGCTTCAAACTGAATTTCAGGAGTTTAAACTATCCAAGCAGAAGAGTCATATCTAAAAATTTGAATAATAATCTAAATTTTCACTTAAGTTTCTTGATAATTTCTAGTGTGTGTGCTATAATCTTCATTTACATGAAGTATGTTTCTTAACTAATCACAAAAGGTTTCACCAAAGGACAAAAATTGTTTTCAATAATGTAAGACAACTGATGTTGCAAATTCAGTAAACTTTATGATACATAGTAATGGAAGTTATTAAATCATTAACAATTGAAAGAGAGGAATTCCAAAATATGTTTGATAGTGCCATTTTTAGAATTATGAGTATTTTCTATATTTCTGTTTAATTAGTATTTCCTAAATAATCATGCTATTTTTTTTAAAAGGAGGGATATTCATAAAAGTTGGTTGGTTAGTGCTTGACTCATTACTTCAAAGATATGAGATTTTTTTAGAGAAACTGGCTCATCGGAAAAGACAAAAGTCCCATACAGTAAACCTCCCTCTTTTCAACTGTTGAAAAGCAAAAGCAAAGCATCTGGGCAGACTACTATTTTTTTGCAGTTTAAAGCCATTTAACCATTGAGGAGCCAGATATATATAAAGTACATTCCTAATTATTTTATGTACATTGATATGGAATTTTTATATATTTTACTACTTCGGATTTTTCTTTGCTGTTTATTCAATATAGTTGTTTTTTGTTAATGGGATGTATGTATATGCAAATACATAGTTAAGCCATCTATCTCTATTAACTAGTGACTGTGAAATTTCAGAATACTTTAAAAAGAGTAATGCAGTATAGCAGGATTAATATAATATCTTAAGGTCTTTAAAAATCATTCTATAATTTTAAAGTTTGTTCTGTATAGTACTGAAGAAAGATAATTGAGATTTTCCAACTTCTAAGAAAAAGCTCAATAATTAAAGTCGATTTATAAAGAAATAGGAAGTATTTTTAATATATATACTAGCCGCTATGTGGCCAGCCTTTGCCTGGCTTTTAAACGTACCGGAAAAATGCCTAAAAGACACACCAGGGACCTATGGCTGCGTAAGTTCTTCCAACTTTTTTCTCTTTGTTAAAATTCTAACCCTCCCTTGTGTACGGCTCTGATGTATCTCCAGAAAAACATATACATCTTGAATTTTTAGCAAACTGATTGCACGAGATGTGCCTTAAACATTTGTTAAAGCATAATTTATATCCCCTTTCTTAACCACCACCATAACTACATAAAAAATTATATAAAAATTCTAGAGTAAAATTAAAATTTTTTAAACCGTTTCTTACTCGATAGTTTGAATGATTCTTTTTCTGAAATATTGAAATGTTATGATACTTTAGAAATCTTCTGAGAAAATGTATCAGCAGTCACATCGCAGCCATTTAACTTGCAGTATTTAAGTTGCATTTAACTAAGCAGTATCCCTTAATACAAATATTAATTATCCTAATAAATGAATTAACCAACTTCCCTTTGCAAAATCTTAAGAACTGAAATGGTATAAAGGAGGTTAAGAACTTTGTTTCCTAAAAAAAATCACTCAAAACTTTTCAATATCTTAAAAACAGTGAAATGAGCATTTAAAACATAAAAGAATATAAAAAAAATTCTGAAAAGCAAAGTATAATTAATGATATTTTATCTTTTATTTTCAAGAGAAAAAAATTGCAATGAAATTAGCTATATCCCTTAATACAAATATTAATTATCCTAATAAAAAATTAACCCACTTTCCGTTGAAGAAAAAAAAATCATGCGAAACTTTTTCAATATCTTACAAACAGTGAAATAAGCAAAAAAATAACATGAAAAACTCAAAAAAAACATAAAATTCCATGCGCAGAATTTTACTCTGCAGTAGCAACTTTATCAAAAAAAATCAATAAAAAAGTATTATATATACATATAAATGACAATGAAATATGCCAATCTTCTTAAAGAGGGTGACAGAAGAAATACGATGAAAAATTGTTGCCAAACCTCATATTTCTAAACAGAATGAAACTATTCAAAATGATGCGATTTTCATCAAAAATCTATCAACAACAATAAGACAGGAAAATTGTTGCCAAAATCACAATTTTAAAGATGTGAGATGTGAGAAGTTGTATTCGGAAGCTTCAATTTAAAAAAAAAAAACGTTTTAAAATACAAAATATTATCATTTTTCCAAAATTCTTATTGTAAAAGCAGTCACAAGGATGAAAGTTTAACGTGTCCAAAAATCAAAGAAAAATAAACTGTACGTTTTTAAAAATAAACTTTTTTAGAAAAAATCCTGTTGAAAAGGTGTTAAGCTCACTTTGTTAAATAAATTCGTATTTAATCGATTTATTGAAACACGAAATTTATTTAAAGTTCATAAAATAGCTAAGTGCGTACGTTTCATGACTGTGAAAATGGAGTGTGTAGAGTAAAATCTCACTTTCCTATAGCCCATTATGTCTCAAAATGACACGATTTCGTCATAAAACATAAAATAAAAAAAATTCGAATTTCGAAAAAACCGTTTCGATGTGCACTGGTTCTTGTCTAGATGCACCTATGTATCAAATTTCGTAGTTGTGGGTCTATTAGCTTATGCGCAGTGCGAACGAAAGACACACACACAGACAAACTCTTTCTTTTATTATATGTACAGATATGTCAGGCAACTGTAATTCTTGATAGCTTAAAGTGAAAGCGTTATTTTTTTTAAAGAACGTCTGCTTTTAATAAGAAAAATATTTAAATTTCATTAAAATAATTTTTTTTTCTCGTATTCTACGTACTTTCATCTACTTTTCAACACAGTTTCCATTTTTATTTTAACATTTGTTATGCTGTTCAACAATTTTTTCAATTCTGACATCAAAGAAATATGCCACCTGTGAAAAAGCCCAATCCATAACTGCAGAAGTACTGAAACAAGTGAAAATCGCTGGGTACAAGGTCTGCTGGACTGCAAGGTGAATGATCCAGTTGTTCTCATCCAAAAGATCTGATTAGACCTTGTGTTTGTGCAGAAACATATGGCCTTGCATTATCATGGAGCAACATCACTCTGGAAGACAGTAGGCCATGTCAGATTTTCTCAAGGTCACACAATAGGCATCACAATTGATTGTTGTGCCTCTTGGCATAAAATCCAATAAAAAAATCCTTTTTCTGTCCAAAAAGATAGTTGATGCTTAGTATTGAGATTATGATCTTTAGTGCTGAAATTGTGTATTTGGTTTTAACTTTGGTTGGTGACAATGTGTGTCTCTACTTCATTGACTGTTGTTTGGACTCAGGAGTCCTCCTCTAATGATGTGATAAAAAATTCATCTCCTTCCTGATTATATTGAATTAAAAATGATAAAGTGCCGCCAAATATTTTTGTTTTGTGATCATCAGAAAGCAATTGTGGAACCCACCGACAACACAGTTTTCGATAATTCAGTTTCTCTGAAATAGTTGTGTACGAAACTGACCTTGAAACCTGTGGAAAATCAATTGAAGTTCTGGTCCTTTTGAATTTTGTTGTCCACATTACAAACCAAATCTTCAGAAATCGGAGAAAGTCGCCCAGGGTGTGGCTCATCATGCACATTAACCCACACATCCTTGATCATTCTCACCCACTTCTGAATTTTACTATCACTCATAGCATTATAGCCATAAATTTCATAAATCTGTTGGTGAATTTGTACTGCTACCATGAATTGGGGTTTACTTACGCAAAGAATCCGTTTCTTCTGCAGAGAACCAATTGGGGACAGTGTGTTTTTTGTCACTAAGCTCGTCAATGGTAATAGTTTTAGCAATATACAGATAAGTTTTGAAATAAAACATGATATAAAACATATACAAGTCAAATTTAGTATTTTAAACATTATATTTAGTGCATAGTGTGATATTAAGCATATATTAGCTAAAAATCAGCTGAATATTAAGCACATGCAAGTCAAATTTAGCTTCTTAAGCATGATAATTAGTACAATTAAGTTCAGGTTAGAAAAGCATGATATTAAGCATATGCAAGTAAAAATGAGCTGGTTAAACATGGTATTTAAAACAAATATATTCAGGTTGGTAGAAAAATATAATGTTAAGCATATGAAAGTAAAAATTAGCATAAAAAAGTAAAATAAATATTATTATTGAAATAGATTTCTTTTTAATTCTATTTTTATAAAAGTGTTTTAGGAAAACTCATGTACTTAATATCTACCAATACTTCATTTCTTTTTTTTTTAGATTTTTATGGATCTAAAAGCCCCTTCTTTTTAAAAAAACCTTTGCCGTTGAGTAAAATGCAGAGACGTATTACCCTAAAAGGATCTATAATTGTATTTAAAATTTCCGTGAATGGATTTTGCCATTATATGTAACTTCACTCTGAAATAATCAAAGTACATGATCAGCTACTTTCTGAATAAAACTAAGTAAATTTTATGAGATTTTAATTTCACTTTCAAAGGCTGCCTGCTCAATTCTGTGATCTGGGAATGTGCACCATTTGCTGGATTAATGAAATTTATCATATTATTAACAGTCTGATGCACTTAATACCTATGCCTGCCTAAATATGAATCTGTCCTCCATTCATTAGTCATGATTGTTGTCTCTTTGCCACATGATTCTTAATTAGTGGCATTAGAATCTCTGCTGATTTATTGTTTGCAGTGAGCATGTTTTTGATAAGGCAATAATACTTGTGAGACGCATCACTGCAAACAAGCATCTGTCTCCGACAACTTCCTTAATTGCACAAAAATACTTCTATCTATTTATTGTTAAAAAATTCATAAAATATAGCATG